ACGTCGATTCGGCGTCATCTCGTCCGTGATTCGAGCCAGTCGAATGAGTCCGACGCGGAAAAGAGCGGCGCTCCAGGTGGTTATTAGAAAAAGAAATATATATCAGTAGTTCGGAACAATTCATAATCACTCTTCCGTTTCCATGCATCATCGTTAATTTATCGCATTTACCGTTCCACTTTCATCGGTGAGAAAGCATACACACACACACACACACACACACACACACACACACACACACACATACACACGCGTGTATCTCGAGAAAATCGAGAATCCACACTGCTGCGGTGTGGAACGATTTCAACTGCGCGTCTTGTGCGCTATTACATGCAACAAAATGCGCGCATGTAATTATATAACTAGTTACGCGTTTCAACGCGTAAAACGAAAAAAGGTACGAGCAACGCGGAAGTCCCAATTGACTGAGTGAGACTTTTTATTTCACGCTTAAGCCACGCGGCGGTGTGCAGCTTTGATCCGCTCTTGGCGTTCGCGTTCGAGAGATCGCCGCCGTTTTATTGCATTCCGCGTGTAAAGAGAACACTTACAGATTTAATTTGATTAGCGTGCGTCGCGCGGCAGAACGCGGAACAAAGCAGCTCTCGAACTCTCGCAGAAGATTTGTTGAGCATAAAGATTCTTTAATTAAACACGATGTTAAATCAGTCAGAAGCCGGAGTGTTGGTTCAATCCGAGTCGAGTGTGAGCGCGAGTCTCTCTTTCGCTAAGTGGATTATCTCAAAGGTGCAACGTTTTAATTGCAGGCATTTCCGCGCGCGCGTACGTATAATCGCCGGTCGGGAGAACGCGCGAGAAATGCGCGCAATATGTGTTTCCGCGCGCAACTCTGTGTGCATCTCGGCGGATTTACGTACGCCGTAATGAGTGTTAATCATTTATGATGAATGCGGCGCGTTCTGAGGTAAACATGTAGCGATGTTTAATACGTGGGCGGCATATTCAAGCCACTGCACTGCAAGACGGAGAGTAGAAGGCTAGTTGCAAACAGGCTGATCGTGTTCCAGGACGATCGAGAGACGTATACTTAACGATTTTTCCTCATTCGAATCGAGCGTGCTCTTTATCGTGAGGGCTCGCGAGGGCAAGCCGCTTCGATCCGATTCACGAGACGCGTTCTCGATTAACGCGTCAAGCTCGGTGTCGTAGAAGTTTCATCTCGCGGGAAATTACCGCGGCACTTTCAGCCACGTGCTTTGTACGTTGCGCTGTAGTCGAAACGCGCTTTGAACTATATTAATTACGCGAAATTAGACACGTTGTTTCTCCTATTGCTCGTTCCTCTTTAAGAATGCAATGACATCAGGCGTTTCGCGAGCTTATCGAGAGAGCATGATCGAGGCACGAAGATTTTTTTCGAGATTTCAGGAAAGGAAGAATCGCCGCAGCGTACGATAACGAAATAACGCTTAAAGCTCTCCGCGGCTCGGAAGCAATTTTGCATTATATTCCGGCAGTCGCAATTCCCGAGTACTTGCTCCGACCGCAAGAATTTCTTCTATGCACGTATGAATTTCTATTATGTACGTGTTAAGCAACAGGAGAAAATTGTCGCGGAGCGAATATCGTAAACATGGCCATCACGAGACGGAAATTCACACAGTGATTTTGCGAACGCGACGGCCACGCGACGCAAAATATATTTTTGCATAGTGTTTCTCTGGGAATGATCAAACGGCCAGAGCGGACCTTCAACGTATTTCGATGCACGCGCAAATAAACATCAATAATAACAACAAGTCGTAAAACATTTTTGTCGCGAAATACTTTTCCCTCTTTTCAAAAAGACATCGCCACGTCCACGCGAATGTTATAATTTTGTAATCTGACGAAAGCACGGGAAAACGAGCTAGATCGAATTAACGCGGCGGTGAAACGCGCGGTGAAGGGCATTTTGCTCAGAGAAAACAGATTTTCCAGAATTTCTTAGGACCGGCTTTTTAATTCTAGAGAAGCAGAAACTCCTATTCCCTTCAAGCAGGGACGCGCCTTCATTGTCACCCTTCATTGACTGAGCGAAATTTTCTTCCCCGTGCAAATGAACTTACGTCGCTCAAAAGCGCGACCCTGGCCCTTTCCTCTCTCAACACCCGTGTTGAAATGTTCGAACGGTCTCTCGCGACGGAGAAAGACACAAAAATATTGCATATTTGTGCGATACAATGCCGATACAGGCGCGAGATGCACGGAACGTCGAGCGGCCTGCGTGCCTCGGCGAGCAAGGAGCGAGCGAGAAGGGACGAATGTAGGACACGCCGTGCGGTGGTTTTACCCGGAGCGATATTTATGATTTCAGATCGAAACGCTGCGCTGCCCACTTAACTTGTTCTTCCTTTTTCCTCGCGTGAAATCGAGTCTCTCGCACGGTGCGGCCTGCAAAATCACGCGCGACATTTTGATATCGCAGTTTGCGGTCAGCCGACTGCGCGTTTCACGCGTAACCCATTAAAAATGTATCGCAGGCACGCAGTGCGACCGGCGCTCCAGCGAGACGTCGTTCGAGTTTGAAGCCGAGTTCGTACCGCGAAAGCGCAAGTGCGCGAGCACTTTCGGCCACCGCCCGCGAATAACGTGGCTGCGACGCTACGCGGCGAGCAAAGTGTATCAATGGCAAACAGTGGTCGCACAGTGGAGCTCGTTAACCGGCTGAACGATTAAATCTCACGTAATCGTCGCGCTTCTCGGAAAAGTTTCACCGGCGGCGGCGGCGCCGGCAATTAGCGGAGCGTGCGACACGAGCGCGTGTCTCGTTAATATCGTCATCTGCGTCACATCGCGGATGTCGATTTTCAGTCGAGAAACGAAGATAATAATCACGCGTTCGCGGCGGATTGCACGCGAAAAGCGCAGCCGAGGCGTGCCGTAGAAGTAGCTTCAAAGGCAGAGATGCAGCGCGCGCGAGAAAGCGCGCTTACGGCGGGATTACTCCGCGGCTGGCACATTTGCGTGCAGCGGAGGTATCCTCCGGTCTCTGTAATTTCGCGAAATAGGCCGCACACGCGCGGACGGGATGGATAGCGGCGCGGGTACGTGGTAACAAAGGGAGATCCACCGCGAGGACAAAAAAACGAGGCGTGCACACACTCACGAGCGACGATGTCCCTCGGCGCGTTGCATTGCCGTAATATCGTTTTATCGAATTTACCGTTATATCAATCCGTTCCGCATCGACGGTGTACGACCATCTTGTACGCAAGGCGCGCTCGCATAGCAACACCGGAAACTTTGCAAAAAAAGAGACGCGCTTACACACACGCACGCACACAAATCACGTTACACAGCGCGCGGTTGTACCTCGGATCCATACTGGATGAAAGCTCCAGAGCGGATCTCTCTCTCTCTCTCTCTCTCTCTCTCATCGTTAACCGAGACGAATTTCAAGCGATGCACGCGAAATGGCCAGCAGCTGATAAGCTCATGAGCGCCGTAAGCGAGCCAATTATCGCGGCGATTAAGCGCGATATTCGAGCGCGAAGACGATGATAAATATCTGTCAAAGGACTTTGCGATTAGCATTCACGGCGCCGATCACTGCGCCGCGTTGAACAGCCCCGGCTGAACCTGTCGTGCCCATTTGCGTCACTTCCCATTCAACATTTTATGACAAAAGCATGAGACGTGCGAGAGGCTGCCTCAAGCGAGAGCTGGAACTCGTCGTAAAGTCGCAACGCACGAATGAGCTGTCGTGCAGAATAATCAAATAGATCGCTCAGACTCCTTCCTGCGTCGCGACGTATTAGCTTCGCGGGAACCGCGCTGCGCCGCGCTGCGCCGTCGACAAATATCCTCACGAGTGTTCCGTTTGCGTTCGCGTTCGACGAAAGAAACAAGTCCGGTTTGACGTTCGGTCGTGGTCAATATCGATATAGTTACCGATCGACGCCGCGCGCCGTCCGTCCGTCCGTCCGTCCGTGGGTCCGACGGCGATCCAAAGTGGCGATCGATGGAGGTCGACGCGGCTATCTAACTGTAAATCTAACGCTTCACGCCGACCCGCAGACCATGCGAATCAAGTGCATCCAGGCTGCGACGCGCGGATTTGAGTGTTAAATCCAACGGGGACTTGCGCCGAGCGGCTCGATACCGATTCCGGCTCTCTCGTCAATACGCACCTCAGGTACTCGCGGTGCCAGCACCTGATTTGCATAACAAGTCGACCCATCGTTTATCGGGCTCGGCCCTGCCGCTGCCGATTGGTCGATATTTAAAGTGCGCAAGCCGCAAACACGAGCGGAATGTTACACAGCCGGCAAGTGCTACCGAGCGAGGGTATAATTTATTACTTTTTGTCCTCTCCTTGTTATATCGCTCTCTCTCCCCCCCTCCCCCGCCCCCCTCCTCCTTCTCCGCTTTCATTAGTTTATATTTAACAAACGTTGCGATAAGTTTTCATCCGTTATATATATTCCCCATTATCACAGTACAACTTGTTCCCCCATCCAGATGGTGATTCTTTTTAATTTCCTCTTGGAAGAATTTTCGGGGTTCTCAGGCGAAAAAGATTTCCGCGAATTTATCTTGGCATCATTACGAAAAAATTTCGCATTTGATAAGCTTTCAAGTGAGCCAACCGCATCGGAATCTGATGAGGCAAGGAGCCTCATCCGACCCCGGAAGCACCAGAATTTTTTCCGGCTTGTCTCAGCCGCGTATGATTGCGATGGCGAGACGATTACACTGTTGCGATTGGCGAGGGCTGGTCGCTTTTCTTCTCAGCACAGGTACTGATTTTCTAAATTACTCGCAGTAAGTAAAATGACTGAGGATGGCGTGGGTAATAGCAGCTTCTCAGAAGAGAGATGATTCAATGATTATTTCTAGCGGAAATTCTTCATGAATCAACCCAACCAACGCACACACGCGAAGAGTTACGCGGCTCTGTTACACCGTAAACGAACTCGCGCTCTTCGGGTACATAAATCTCGCGCGGGTACATCTCCGCGCATCGCAGGTGCAGTTACTCCTGGTGAGATACGTACCTTGGAGGAGGGCGTTTGCAGGAACGTCGCGATGCCGGCTCGCACTCTGTTCTTCACCCCGCGCACAGTCCCTTTGGCACTTCGTATGGCTTCCTTGTCGTGGATTTTATAGCCGGCGAAGCACTCGTCGTTCTCGGCGACGCCGTGCTCGCCGTTGGAGCTGTTGTTGTTGTTGTTGTTGTTGTTGTTGCCGCGCAGCTCGTTCACGTGGAAATTGTAGTACCTGTCGTCCTCGTACAGGTACTTGTGGCCGGTCGACTGATTCTGATCGCCCTCGCCGTCCGCGCACTCCTGCTCTATCCTCTCTTGCTCGCGCTGCTTCCTCTCCTCGTACGTGCACTCCTTAACGACCGGCGACAACGGCTTGATGTTCTGCTCGACCGCGGGATCGGGACTCCTCACCCGCGGCGTGGACGACGCTTTCGACAGGGACGACGTTCCGGACGGTGACGGCGAGACGCTGGCCGACGACACCGGCGAGCACGGAGCGGAGCCGAGTTCCGTTACCGCGCTGACACGCCGAAGAAAGTCGCTCGATTTCTCGACCTGATGCTCGTCGTCCGCCGATCGGACTCGAACGTCCGATTTCTCGACGACGCCCGTCGCAGCTGCTTCCTCCGCCTCCGCCTCCGCCTCCGCCGTCGCCACCGCCTCCTCCTCGCGATCCTTCGCAGCAGCAGCGAGATCCTTGCTCCTCGACGAGTGCACGCGGTATTCGCTGGCGTCGCCGTTCACCTCGGCGCCGTTCAACGAGTCGCAACTGATGTTGCTCTCGTTGTCGTCGCTGTCGACCTCGGCGCCGCTGCTGGTCAGGCTGCCGGTCCGATTGTGCGTGTTGTTGGTCAAAATCACCGTGCTGGCGTTCTTCTTCTTGGGCAACGGCGGCGGTGTGCCGTCCAGGTCGCTGCAGGTACCGCTGTCCAAAGTGTCGCTGGGCGAGCATTGGCCGCTGGACATAACCATGCCGTTTAACGGGCTCTGGTACGAGTTGTAGTAGAAGCAGGCGTTCGGACGACCGCCGAGGGCGGACGAGTTCAAGGTCTCCGTGGTCTCGCGGTGCACCATGTCTTTGTTGTCGCTCCTCCTGTCGTTGGCCCGCTCGCTGTTCTTGTCGTCGTCGTCGTCGTCGTCGTCGTCGTCGTCGTCGTTATTGTTGTTGTTGTTGTTGTTGTTGTTGTTGTTGTTGTTGTTACTGCGGCTGCTGCTGCTGTTGCGCTGCTCCCGATTGCCGGGTGTCGGCTCGCCACCGAAGACACTGATCCTCACACAGCCCTCACCGGCACCGGCACTCTCACAGTGTCGCTCGTTCACCAGGTTCGTCGCACTCACCACCACCGCACCGTCGCCGCGTCTGCCCGAGCGTTCGCACGCGATCCCGTTTTCGTCCAGGGTCAACCGTACCGTCGATATCACCCTGCCGTTCTTGTCGCCATCCGGGTTGATCTTGATCTTGACTATGTGCGCAGCTTGATGCTGCTGCTGATGGTGATAATGATGCTGCTGCTGCTGCTGCTGCTGCTGCTGTTGCTGCTGCTGCCACCGTTGCTGTCGCGATGACTCGACGACACTGCTCTGCTCCTCGTAGCCGTTCGCCGATCGTACTTCCGGGATTCTTCTCCTGCAGGTTGCCGTGGAATCGGCGGTAGGAGCGCTAACTCCGACGAATACCGTTGCTCCGGGCCCGCCGGCGAGAACCGGCGAGGCGGAAGGGGAAACGGTCCGGATTGACACAGTCTGCCGAGCGGCCTGGCTCGCATCCCGGCCCTGAGTCTTCACTGGTAGCGGCGGAGGCACGGTCATCGTGATGCTCTCGTCCATATGTGCATACGAAATCGCTGCTCTCTGGGCTCACTCGATAGACCTCACCTTGAAGAGGAATTTGGAAAGTCGGAGATTACAATGACCCTCGTCTCTCACGCTTTCCTTTCTCTCTCTCTCTGCCTCTCTCTCTCTCTCTCTCTCTCCCCCTCTTTCTCTCTCTTTCTCTCTCTCTCTCGTCGCGTTGGTCGCATCTGTATGATGAGATGCACTTTGCCCATATGAGATGGGCCAACGGTCGCGATTACCCGCGTTTATTCGCTCACGACGAAAATACGTAGCGATCCGGGGGATGTTAATCGCGCGGGCACAACTACACCCCGCGGGAAGAGCAGGCGCGCATTATTCGTGAGCGATCAGCGCATTAATTCACCGCGGACTGCACGCGCCGAAGAACTGCAATTTGGATCGAAACAACACTCGATCAAAGTCGAGTGCCGTTGGAACGGACCGCTTTTCATCGGCGCGCTCGTAATGTCGATCGGCTCGCGCTTCGCTACGACGCTCAGACGCATCGAGCTAATATTATTCCGTCGATACCGCTAATTGGACTGTTTTTGCCAGCAAAGTTAGTACGCCGCCGTATCTCCTCGCTCCGTCCACCCCGAACCGCCCTGGCCTCGCCCCGAAGCGAACTTTTGCGAATTGTTGTAGTCACACCGTGACGATTCACGCGCTAAGTGACCGTCCGCGGCACATCTTTGGATCTTCTACGAAACGAGGAAGATTATACTGTGCAATTCACGATTGCAAAATTACTCGCGACTCTCAGTGTACAGGACGTGTACGCGAGACACACACTGCGAAATTGGCCGAGTCCAGCGCGATTGCGCTCGAGATTTACCGTACGCAAGGACGATCGAGCTTGACGAATTACGGCGGCGTTCGAATCAGGTCGATCGGCCGAGAGCGTAAGGCCCCGCGGTCCCGCTCGTCGAGAAAACGTTAGCACCTTGCGCACACCTGCGCCCGTGCGAGATCGCGGACTATCTGTCGCGCTCGTGAAGGAGAAAGAGAGAGAGAGAGAGAGAGAGAGAAAAAGAGAGGAGAGAGAGAGAGAGAAAAAAAGAGAGGAGAGAGAGAGAGAGAGAGAGAGAGAGAGAGAGAGAGAGAGGAGAAAGGCCCGCGGCGCGGGACCGATACTCGCATCGAGAGAAAGATGGGACCAACGCGAGATGAAGGAGGAGGAGGAGGAGGAGGAGGAGGAGGAGGAGAAGACGCTCGTCGTTGGGAACCGCGGAACACCACTTACGAACCGCATATGTGTATCAAGAGCGGCGCATAGTAAAACCCGAGTCCACGACTCAGCAGCTGAAGAAGAGGCAGCGACGACGAAGACGACGATGACGACGACGACGACGACGACGACGACGAAGACGATAATCAACAAACGGGCGATCGTACACAGCACGGAACGTCAGTAACAGTACTGAGTGCCCGCTGCTGACACTCACTCATGCAGTTTCACGGCCCGGGTGAGGACTGGAGTCGGGCCCCGGCAGGACCGGGGCACGGCGAAAGGGGGAGTGGGAAATATCGGGCCGTCTACGGGGAAGAACACGCGGAGGTAGTGGGAAGAGAGGGAGAAAGGTAAGTCTGCGGGGGAAGGACGAGAACGGGTTCTCGTCTCTTCGAGCCGGCTACGGCCGTCCCCGACAGGTACCTGCCTGGCCGAGTAGTGGACGTGGCGTCCTCTATTGAGCCACCCAGTATCGACAATCCGGTATCTTATTTAAATGCCTCACTCTTTACCGTTCACCGCCTTTCACGTAGCTGTACGGCGATCTACCTGGCCTGCCCACCTGCCTGCAATGCGCGCGTAGGTGTACTCGTGTCCAGCGTACACGCTCGCGCTCGCGCGCGCGCGCGCGCGCGCGCACGCGTCCACGTCGCTGCGCACCTGCCGAAATTTCACCGGCGTGGTGCGGCACCGCGTGCAATGTCCTCTTCGTCCCTGCTCGTGCGGCATCTCGAGCTACCCGTTGTAATTCGCACACACAGCCGGAGCCCGCGCGAGTGGCCCGCGCAAATGGAAAGCGCAACAACCTCGAGAGCTACCTCGGTATCTGATGTGTACCGAACGTCTCTCCCCGAGGTGATCGCTAACGCTCGAGTTGGAGGACGCTCGTTGAGATGTTGCTCGCTGCGCGCTAATGAAAGACGTCGCGAGTAAGAAATCGCGTAAGCATTATCTGCGACTCGCCGCTCTCGATCATTCCGTCTAATCGATATCGTTTTCTTCTCTCCTCTCTTTCTCTCTCTCTCTCTCTCTCTCACTCTCTCTCTCTCTCTCTCTCTCTCTCTTTTTCTCTCTCGACTTATACGACCAACAATTTAACTGCCTGCTCTTTTATGTCTGATAAACTCGCATACATCGAATACAACTCGATTCTTGTCAACAAGTCTTGTACAAAATTTTCGTCCCCGCGGGATATCGGAAGGAATGCACGCAGGATCCTTTATATTGACCTTGCAACATGTGTGAGAAGCTTAAAGGGGACTAGAACAGGTTCCGTTACACCTCCCAACCGCGTGCACACACATGCACCACCGGTCCTCCATCTGGTTATTCTTGCCGTGAGATTTTTCGCCGTCCGAGGGCAAGACATCTCGCGCGGCTGTGACCTCTGCGCCGCGGAGGCGCTTATCGGTGACCTGTCGGGTCGCGCGGGGGAAGGGAACACTTGCCGCCGTGGTGTCACCAAATAAATAACGACTATATTTGATTGCCTTGTACACTCACGATTGCTAAATAACCTGCCGGCTGGAGAGGAAGCGCCGGCAAACGACCTGACAATTTGCCTAAGAACGATCGTCGGCCATCAGCGACGGCCCGACGCGCACGATAAACTCTTTATAAACTTTTCTGCAGGTGTAATGAAACGTATGTTACATGGTCGTGAAAGTGTTTCAACGCGAAACACACCGATCGCTCGTACTTCATCCGCATTAACGCTCATCGACCTCGAGTGATTGCATGAGACTTTATTGATTCTCTCGGTCCGGCGGTCTTTTTTCTTATTTCCGCCTGTGATTCCCGGTATTATTGCTATAACATCCGTTGTCGCAAGGACGTTTACGATGTCAGCTCTCTCTCTCGGGACAGGAACCACACGTTCATGGGTTCGGATTTTCCCTTCATCGAAACAGGTCCTCTGTATTCCAAAAGGAACTGCGGATCCTGATTCTCCGGCATGCAGAGATACCTGCAACAAATCGCGCGCGGGCGTTCGTTAGAAAGAAAGAAACAAGAGTGTCATCGGAGAATGCGTCGTCCGAAAGGAATTTCGCTCGTTCTCCGCGCGCAAGTAAGAAGCATAAAAAGCTTACGCGGGCCAGCACGGGTGTCGAGTGTCTCGCAGGGAGACACGTCGCAGAAGAAACCCTTGAAATACATCGTGTTTTCTACGTCTAATCGAATTAAACACTCACGCCGCGCGCGAGCGGGACTGTCTTCTCCCGCTGGGCCATCATTAAAACGCGAACGTTCGTGACGGCCGTTAGGCGATGTCTTGAAATTACAAGTCGGCTCTCTCTTTCTTGCTCTCTCTCTCTCTCTCTCTCTCTCTCTCTCTCTCTCTTCTCTCTCTCTTCTCTCTCTCTCTCGCGCTCGGGAGTCCCGTCGAAAATCATGGAGGTGTTGATCGATTGCTATTTCGACAGGCTCTTCTCGGAAATGGAGCGTAGTTGCTTGGCCTCGCGGTACAAGCGGCGCGAGCTGGTCAATTATTTCACGGACGTGATAAACAGTTGTGCAGAAGGTAACACGAAACCCACGCGTCGAGAGCGCAATGCGCGCATTTAATCCTGCGAGTCGCGCGGTTGACAGATGCCGCAGCCGCGGTCGGGAATCGATAATAATCGTTAACGCGACGCTTGTCGTTTTTTTCTACGCGACAGACGCGTCGTGATGCGTTGAACCCTCAAAGGCTACCGTAAGTGAAATTTTATCCCGATTTTTGATCTTATCACACTGACGGTATCAATTTGATAATTATATTCATTCACGCTATCGGTAGTGACAACATTATGGTGAAACATCAATTCTCGCATACGCTTCGCTGTAAACATAAGAAGAAAAGTTTGCTCGGGGTGATACTTGACGGTAGCTTTTAAGGATTTTAAGGAACTGCGATTAAAATGATAGACACGATATCCTTATCCAAATTTCTAGTCGCTGCCCGCGGCGGCGGGATATCGGAGCTCCCCGCCCCCTCCCGCCTATTATGATGTTACCGTTACATCAAACCGTATAGCTAATGCTCTCTATCTATCGGTCTACGTTGTCTCGTCAATGCCGTTGCAGTAACGGTGAAAAATTCCCCGCGTCGCCCAGGCGGTGTGCACGCACCGCCACAAATTCCAGGATAATTTGCATCTCCCGTCTCGCCCGCGTTCCAACACGGAGATACCACCGCGCCTCGTGGCGTCTCGTGGCGCGATACGATCGACGAGGGGAAGGGGTAAGAATGACGGGCGCTTGTTGCTTCCAGCGGAGAACCTGGACAAGCAGGACGTGTGCGAGAGGATCGTCCTCTCGGCTCTGCGGTATCACAATATCACGATGATGGAGAACGGATCGGTCTGCCTGCTCGGCAAGTTCCACAACGTGCTGTACGTGGCGGCGAAGCTCTGCTACGATTGGGAGCTCGCCAACAATGAGATCGTCAGCCGGCTGTTGAACGACATCTTCTACTGCGAGAAGACCTTCGAGCGGCTGATTGTCGGCGCGATCTTCGGCACGCGTGTCACCCACTTCCTGTCGGGCTGGAAATGCGACTTTGACGACCGCGAGGAGAACATCCGGGCGCTGGTGTACTTCTTGGATCACGCGATCGGCGGCCGGCTCGAGTACCGTTGCGAGTCCTCGCCGATCAAGAGACGCTTCATCGACGTGCCGATGGAGTCGTACGGGCAGGTTCTGCCGCTGCGAGTCGTGATACAGCACGGTGCGCCGGACATCCTGTTGATCATGTTGCGCTACGGCGCCTCCATCGAGTCCGACCAGCTGGCACCGTCGCCGATAGAGATGATCCTGACGAAACTGTGCGACTTTGACGAGCAGTCCGACGAGCAGGACAAAGTCGTCTATCCCGAGCACCTGCTCACGTGCCTGAAGCTGCTGCTGCGGACCACGACGGTCACCTACGTGCGGATTCCTCGTCACATCGCCGAGCACAGCGGCATTTACAGCGTGTCCTTGTACGAGCAGTACCCCAAACTGGTCAGTCAGAACTTGATACCGCCGGAACGTAGCGGACTCTGCCCGGCTGAGCTCCGGCATCTGTGCCGTTGCCGGATCCGCGAGTCCCTCCGCGCCAACTGGGCGCTTCCTCACGGAATCAAGAGACTGCAGATCCCGGAGTCGCTGAGGAATTACTTGGACCTCCTGCAGGACTGACAAATATCAAGTCGTCGCCGACAGAGCGTGGGTCTTGCAAATATTTTATCGCACGTCCACAGTGTGCACAGTTATGTCCTAGAATCCCGACGCGATATAGTAGCGCGTTCCCCGCGAAATCCTGCAGACGCGTGTTCCAAAGTTCACGCGTGACCCCGCGAGTCGCGGTGCCGTCGGTAAGTTCGCTAAAGCGGAGCGAAGGAGAAGGCCGAAGGTCTCGGAGGAAAAGTCAAGTTTCCAAAGATCGCTGCGTCTCATCGTCGCGTCTCGCCGGCTTCACGCGTCTTGGGAATTGGAGGAACGCATTGTGAGGGATGCTCGCTCGTCCGCGTTGCGAATACCATAAACGCTCGAGAATGGCGGAAAGTGTGCCGTGAGACGACACGTAAACGCACGCGTTCGGGAAATCGAAGTTGCGGGCCCCGTTAGCGACTTTCATTCATTTCAAGCCGCCGGTAAAAGTCGCCAAGGCGGACTCGTGTCTCTCGCCGGCTACACGCTCCTACGCTCCTGGCTAGATGCGTCATAATTTGTACCTGTAAGCGTCCTCCGAAACGTTGATCTTCCCCGGCTGGCCAGTGGTCTCCGTACGGCTGGTGAGATTTACGGTATTTCCGAACAGACAATAGCGTGGCATACGATGACCGATCACGCCGGTAACGACTTCTCCGCTGTGTATGCCGATTGTAATTTTCTGCGACATAAGCAACATTAGTTTGCAATATAAAGAGAGGGAAATGAATGCTTTGAGAAGAGTCGTAATTTTACACCCTAACCGTCCTGATACTTTTCACACTTCCCGCGCTGTGGACGCAAATTGAAAAGGCCTGCGAGAGCTTTCCTTTCTCGTGTCAATTTCATTTTATCACACAGAGAGAAAAGAAAGTCTCTGATACTTTTTTATTTTAGTCTCTACATCGGGCTGTGCGTGAAATTTATCAGAGATAATCTCTCGTAAAAAGGAATAAGAACGACACAGAAACACGGCTTTCGGCCCCTCGGAAAAAACGCAACGGTCCACCGCTTTGCGTACAAAGCTGGTGAAATACAACTTTCTATAAACTCTCGATAACCTCTTTCGCAGCGTCAGATTCGTCAGAGCTGACTACGCAGACACGCGCGACACTTAAGTCGGCGTTGAATTTAGCATTTTTGCTCGTATCGCTGCACCAGCAGCTTCTTCCCATGGCACGCGAAAATCGCGTGGCACGATATATAGCTGACGAGCGCGCAGCAACAGCTCGCACGTATACGTACCACAGGCTCCCCATCGATCTGCACTTCGTCAGCCGCAAGATCCATCATGTCCAACGCTAGACGAGCGATGCATCGTGCATGACAACGACAGGGTTCCGGCAATCCACTCACCGCCATGTATTTATCGCCGACGGTCTCCACCTAGGCCGAAGCGTCGAGTGTTTTGTATTCGATGCTCCAACATCTTTCTCACGTGCGACATAACGACCCCGCGAGGGAGAGATCCTCCGGGGAATTGCAAAAGTCTCGCCGGTTATTTACCTTATAAACGTTTGGATTCTTTTTCGGGTCGGTCAACACGTCGAACGCCGTGTACAGCTCGTTGAGCATGTTGACGATCTTCATGGCGCCGCTGGAGTCGGTGTTGGCGGCGCAGTACACGCTGAAGCCAACTATCCCGGAGAACAGGAGTGTAACGCAATCGTACTTCCTCGCCGGCACCGGCCTCGAGTGCCTGAGCTCGTTCGCCACCGAAATGGGGAGCACCGAGTAAAGTAACCTGCAGAAGACGGACGATGTTTTATTCAACGTCGCGCGCCGTTGCCGTTGCTGTTGCCGTTGCTGCTTGGCCCGTCTCTCTCTCTTCTTTTTTTTCTCTCTCTCTCTCTCGCGAGCGCGCGCCGGGCTTAATCGGATTAATATTCGCGAGCGGAATTCCCGGCCGAAGTTTCCGCGGCAAGCTGACGCGGACGATTGAGTTTGGATAGTTTCGACGAGGGACTCTCGGCGCTGGAAAAGATTCCGTGTTTCGTTCGGAACTCGAGCGAAAGTCAAGCCCCCCTCCTCCTCCCCTTATCCTCCGCTTCTTTCTTCCGCGCGGAGTCGTGTACCGTCATAAATTCATTTCCGCTCATTTCTAGCGAGTCCGCGCGGAGGAGGAAGGGAATCGCGGATCTCGCGTAATCGTGTTACTGGTAAAACGACGAACAAGACCGCCGCCGCCGCCGCCGAGCTTAATCGGAGGAAATACCGCGGTCGGAGATCCTTACCTGTCAGTTTTCTGCTTCTCGCCGTCGAGCTCGCGATACGTCTGCTGCAGCTTGTCGGTGAGCAGCTCCAAGTTCCGCGTCAGCTTGTAATCCGCCTCAAATTGCTCCGACATCAGGACCAGATCTCGGGTGGCGTCGTGCAAAGGGACGTCGCTCAAGTACAGACCCCGCCTGGAGCCGAAGGAATATAACACACACCGGGTCGACGATATCGCGTCGTGAGATAGAGGCCGCTTGTCACGGCACCTCCGGCCTTTTCTCTTTATCGCGTCTCTTTGTACGACGACGTCGCGTGCGCGAGGTTCTTCGGTCAGCCCGTCCCCTCATCGTCTTAAGCTATTACACCGCTGGAGGCGGGGCGGCAGAAGAACTCGGCAAGTTTACCGAGAGGATTCGAATTGTTGCCGAAAACTAACTCCCCTTCCGGTAACGGAAGAGAGAACAAGTTTAACAAGTCTCGCGCGCGAGCCGACGCGCGAGCGCGACGAAGTTGCGCTCAAGTTCATGCTAACGAGCTACGTGCGCCTCACCGTCCCGTTGTATCTCCTCCGATTAATTGTACGGGGACGCTCGATTAAACAGAGAAGTGACTTGCGTAAGTAAAACTGCGGTGCGCGGTGATTATGCAAATCTCCTCACCTAGTCAGGTCGTCCAGATTCATAACGCTTGGGTAGCATAGAAAGATAACTAAATCGCTTTCAGGTATGTACAGCATTTGACCCTGGAATATTAACATTAATTAGATATTCAAACGAGGCTGAAACAACGGGGGGAGCCTCAATGCGACTGCTGAGCTTTCGCATTCAAGTAGTGCTAACCTTTAAGCGCAAATTTGAATACTCCTCCGCAGCATTCACATGCATGACACCCTTTTTCGTCCGTAGCACGTAAACCGTATTTATGTGAGACAGTATGTTCTCAAACGTCAGCTCCAAATGCGGCCTGACCTACGAAAATTCGGGCAAAATACCGACTGAATCCTTTTCAACTGGGCCGAAATATTTAACTCGATTAAGAACTTCATCACGAGGGATATATCACTACGGGAAGCTAATTGACAGTGTTATGTTATGAACACGCACGGCCAATGTATAATAAATAATGTATAATAAATAATGTGCTGCGGGAAGCGCGTCCCATGTTCGGTTACGATAATTTGCATCCGATACGAATCCACCCATATGCGCACGGATATGTCTGTCGGTCGCGTCGGCAGACGCGCAACTGCGCACTCTGCGCTAATACGATTCCTTTGACTGGAAATAATTCGTCTCATTATGGAAAATTAGCGATCGCCATCAGCGCGGACAATGCTGGGCGCGATGGACGTGCGCAAATATATGCGCTATTCGAGAGCGACGTTGTCCGCAAAAATTCTCCCGTGCATTCTATTCGCGGATTGTTCCGATCCGCGAGCGCGTGTGTTCCCAGTCGTAAATTCGTCACAATTGTACGTCGTATAAACTCAGTATAAAGGAATTGCGACATGAAATTTCCAATAGAGCGCGAAATTGCAGATTTACGGCCGGAGCGGGAAGAGGAAGCGAGGAAAGGAGAGAAGACGGACTCGCGGTAAAAGTATCACGATATTCCGTGCGGGTCAACTTACGGTTATGAGAATGTCGCTTAGCTTGCAGTGACCGCTGGAGACGCGCGGTATGACGCGCGTGATGGTGCATCCGGTCTGGACTATCGTGAGGTCGCGATTGAACATTAGATGAAACGGAAACACCCGACAAAATGTCGTTGGGCTGACCCTTGGCTCTACGACAAAATTCATCAGGCGTTAATTACCTGTCGCACACGTAAGACGTACTACGTAATGCTCGTCGAATATCTCGCGCCTCTTGCGCGCGTTCTCTTGTCGAACACGCCTGTGATCGTATCGGTTCTCTCTATCGGCTACTCACCGACGGACAGCGTTTCCAGCTCAGCGATCATGGGATTCGATACGACTCCCGGGCCCGAAGTGTCAGTTATGAGAAATTGCACATGGTCGCATTCGCTTTTGGTCTTCACTATTTGCATGTCGACGTCCGTGCCGTGCAGTTTCTTCGCGACAGTCTGTTGCGAAAAAAGCGAATGATAGCAAACCCCTCTGTTCTTTCTCTCCTCCTCCTCGAACGAACGAACGAACGAACGAACGAACGAACGAACGAACGAACGAACGAACGAACGAACGAACGAACGAACGAAACAGCCCGATACGCTCAGCGACGAAATCGTCGCTACGCTCTCTTGCGAGACCTACAATTGTAATTTCATCAGGGCGACTACCTTTACGATTCCAATAACGATGTGCTCGAGACCAGGCCGGTCGGAATAATAATGCAAAACAAGCGCGCCATCCTCGGGTCTCTCCGTGCATCTGAAAGACGGCGCCCTCATGCCCGGGTATAGAGTACCCAGATGATCGTGAAGCGCGTCCAAATTCTGCAAGGTGACGCAGTGCTGTACGTATACACGTGTTGCGATTTCAATATCGAAGATGAATTTAAGATGTACGCCGTGCCTCTTCGGTTAATATTAATGCCGCCGCCCGCCCGATCCATACGAATGAGTCCGAATCAGCAGTTTCTTTCAATTGTTGCATGTGTGCGCGGCAGATTGATATTGGCCAAACGGACGGCGAGCAAACAAGTGCAATTAATTTGGAAAAGACCGAGAGAGAGAGAGAGAGAGAGAGAGAGAGAGAGAGAGAGACACGACAGGCAACGTGGAGGAAACGACGTATTAACGACGATATTAACGATGGATTGATGTAACAAGAAAGCCCGCGCGACTCAAGTTAGCGAGTAACACCAGCTGCGAAATTCAACGAGCCATTCGACGGCCGTTAAGGCCGTCCCTAATGCGATTTTAAAGAGCGTGCAATATCGTTTAGCGATTAAGTTGAAGATGCAAATTTAGTCAGTGTTCGAACGTGTCGGAGCATTTTTGATCCGCGAGACGAAATCACAGTAGACGGAGCTCGCCCAAGACTTACCTGCAGAAAATCCCGCGGTGTTGCTCCGAGAACTTGCAGGATCTTATCGTAACCGGAATCTTGGCAAAACTCGAAGAACATTCGACCGAATAGTTCGAGTATTTCATTGGCGGGGATATCTGCAGCACGAAATGTGTCTCTCGTAAATTCTCCTGTCGCGAGCGTGGCGCTCCAACAGTGTTTCGTCGCAAATTGCGAATGCATACGTACTGAGTCGATTGACAGCGGCGGATATCAGATTGTACGTGATCTCGTCGTCGTAGATTTGTCTCACGAGAAACTGCCCTTCCATACTAACCGCCGCATCTTTTCTGAATCGTGACAATGCAGACGTCAAGATGAATAAGTATCAAGGATATATTTGCGCGACTGCGGGCAACTGGACAACGATTCGCAATCGCAAAGAGAGGAAACTACATTGTTATCTTTCAAGTTTCATCTCTCAAAATATGCATAATTATTCTACAGCTCCTCCTTAAAGTTTTACATTTACATGTAAATTTTCAATTAACAGCTGACGCACACTTGAAAGTTCAATGCCTGGGGATTTGATAAGTGTTTTGCGTCTTGTCATCATTTAATTTACGTGTCAAGTGCTCCTAGTGCTTAGTTTCTTTGATATGGATATCAGGAAGCGTCATTTGAAGCTTACCTCAGTGTCTCTCGAGAGTTCCTGAAGTAGCTTTCGCGATGTCACCAAACTTGGAGAAAATTATCTCAGAGTAAATTTTTCCCGGAAAAAAAATTTAAAGAGAGATATATGGAGAAAAAGGCTGTAAGATTCTATTAAAACTAACGGGATGCGCTGTTCTACTTGTTTCTCGAGCGATATCGTCAAATCTCGTATCTTGAATAATATTTCAGTCAAGTGCCACAAGTTACTTCCTAATTGCGTTACGATGTTGCCACGAGAAAGCAGGAGGCATCTCTCTGACGTTGCCTAATATTATTTCGCAACCCAATTTTACCGACCATATCGCTAAACTTTATTTGGGGCAGGCAAATTGACTCTCTTATAGATGCTGTAGATCGGATGATACTCTGTCCGCGCTCGCAAAATAACCTACACGCTGGAGGCAGCAAATATCTCTCGATTATATTTAGCGGGAAGATCAAGAGCATTATTGTCACAACTGTATCAATAATGGTGGAAATTATTACACCGGCGTATTATGTCGGTGTCTCTCTTAAAATAAAACAAGGCAGGAGCAAAAGGAACAACACAAAATATTTGTTCTCCAAACTCCCAGCGTATAATCCACGGTTAAATAATAACATGTGCGAAGCATGCGAGTGGAGGGACCTCTCTGCGGATTCTCGATACGTTAAACGCTCGGAAAGAGGACAAGCGCTCGCGCTCGTGTGTGGCGCAACAATCTCGATGTGCACGTATAGAGATGTAACGCGCGCGCGAATGACTTACAAAGCACGCGTCGTACGCGCGCCGCGGTTCATGGTAAGATTCACGAGACATCATTCGACGTGCAATACATCTTTCGCGACTGACCCGTGTCAACACGTGCTCATTCGACAGTTACCGAACGCCGCGAGGAGACGAGCGCGAGTGTTCGCGCAGGAGCGGGTGCGGAAGAGACAGAGAGAGAGAGAGAGAGAGAGAGAGAGAGAGAGAGAGAGAGAGAGAGAGAGAGAGAGAGAGAGAGAGAGAGAGACAGAGGAAGAGAGAGAGAGAGAGAGACAGAGGAAGAGAGAGAGAGAGACAGAGAGAGAGAGAGAGAGAGAGAGAGAGAGAGAGAGAGAGAAGAAAACGTGCGAGCAAGGCAAGTAGAGAGCGTGTAGGGTAAGAGAGAAAGAGAGAGAGAGAGAGAGAGAGACGGGTCACTTATTTTTACCTACTTTATCGCCTCCCACGTTTCGCTGCCAAAGGTCTTCACGACCAGGAGCTCGAGGGCGTAATTCACAAAACCGTACTGCACATAAGACAGAAAAAGAGCGCGTGTAATTGAACAGGGATGGAACGTAATGGACGGACGGCCGAGCGGACACCACGCCGCTCGCCGTCGACGTCGTGGGTGCTGACAGAATCCCGGGTGCACTCGATGTGATCTCCGCGGATCTCAGAGTCTGCGGGTCACCGTCGAAGCCTTCGTCAGCACCCACGCATCGTCGTGCTCGTCCCGTCGTCGCCGTCGTCGTCTCGTCGTCGTCCCCGTCATCGTCGTCGACTCCTCCGTCCGAACGTACCATACTGCTGCGTGACAATCGGAACTGGACTCGGCTGATCACTCGGCACGCGTCATTCCATTCCGATTGCCGATTAGAGCCGTGTTTACCTCGTGCACACGGGCCGCGTACTGGAAGGCGGCTCACCGTTCGCCGGCACACGATAAGTATCGATTTTCCGGTTGCGGCTGCGCCGCCTAGATACCACCTAGTCGCGCTTCCCTTGCGCGAGCCGCCCTCCAACGAGCTGCACACCCTCGGCTCCCAATCCGCTTTGCTCCGGCCGGCACGGAGCCGGCGACGCTATAACTTCGCGGATGAATACTTATAAGACCTTCGTGAGATTAGCGAACGACAACGACTTCTGTCAGCTCGGCGAGAACTTACTCGCTCGCGATGCGACAGCGACCGCGTTCCCGCGTCTTCATGCGCGAGACTTCTCGTGGCGTCGAGCGCTACGAACGATTTATATATATGTATATACCTCCATGGCCTGGATACTGGCCGACTCGCTCGCTAAAAAGGAAAAAGGAAAAAAAAAAACAGAAAAGAAAAGAGAGAACAGAGCTAAATGTATATAATTGATGCAGCCGCGAGCAATCTGACGACACAATAATGTGCGCTGCGTCTCGAAACATTTGGCTCGAACATTTTTTTTCTTTCATCGCAGCGATTGTCTAACGAGAGGGCTTGATTCTCGCGAATTTTTCAAAAACGAGTTCTCTCGTAGGGACGTCGGTGGTTTTTCGAATCACTTAAAAAAGAAAAAAGAAAGAAATAGTCGAATCATTTTAAACGCCAGTGCCTCAATCTCGAAGTTGCCATGAATGTCGAGCGACGTCATTTGGAAAGTCTCAAACTGCTGCATATAAGGTGTTCTTACGCGCCCTCCATCTTTCCTCTTTAAGGAACGAGCGACTTCTTCGAGCCAATTTCTTTCTCGTCGCGGCACTGCAAGGATCGATGCGTGTTTTATGCACCGTTCTACGATATGATTGTACTTTAGTGATATTATTCCGAATCGTGAATACGCGAACGGCGTATTTAATTCGCTTCATCGTGTTTACAGCGCTACGCACAGCAATTAGACGCGACTGGCTGATTTGGAATAGATCGAATATCGCGCTTGGTTTAAATTTCAATTAATAGCAGAGTAGAGAGAATCAGTTGGATTTTATTCGGAGCATTCGCCAAACACTGCAGGCAAATAATTTTGATGACACGCGGCCGCACTTTTGTTACGCCCTACGCGTGCGCTTCGTCATAACGTAAATACGAGTAAATTCAATTACAACGATATACGTCGCCTTGTGATTCACATTTCCACGATTAAATCTGTTTTAAATGAGACCTGCAAATTCCGTATTATATCACACTGATGGCATTCATTTACGTTATTATGAATAATACGGAAAAATTCATCGCGAAACGGTTGGCAGCGAGAAGAGATTACGAAGCGCTTCGTTAAGCTGGTTAAGATAATGAGCGAGATATATACGACGGCTCTGTGTCATTACGCAAAGTAGTTAGATCGTAATAATCGTGAAGAAATAGTAGATTCACGTAGATCCGCGAGTTAGCATCGAGAGCCCGCATCCTATATCCGCGGTGATATTTTTTAGACGCAGCTTTTGCTACGTCTCTTGGAAATTCTTTGGAGAGATTAAAAAGAAGTAGAGTTTCCAGAATAAAGAGAGTCCCTTTCTCAACTAATCGGGGCTGCAATTTCTCCGATAGCATTACGATTTATTAAATTTTCACCAAATTGCAAATAATGAAAATTTCAGCGCGTCCAACAGGGAGGATTGAAAAAGTTCTCGCTGGAAAATCGTCTCTCTAAAAGAATCGAGCGAGCTCCACGTTAGAACTCTCCAACTTGGTAAATCTTTAAGACGGAAATTTTCCCGAAGAATTATACGCGAGGGTGGTCTCTTCGGCATCAACTATTCAAAGTGACCCCATTTTACGCGCTTTCCGTTGAGCGATGTCATAAAACACATATACAAAGAGGGCATAATGATAATATAAAGGAATCCGGCCATTATTGCATAATGCAATGCCTTCTACGGAAGAAGAAGAAGAAGAAGAAGAAGGAGAAGAAGGAGAAGAAGAAGCAGAAAGGGGAAATGGAAAAGTCTAGTTCGGTTGTGAAAATATCGCGCTGGCAAGACATTACTTTCGCGACACCGATAATTACCTGTCGACGGGCGGAGCGAGAGAAATGGTATCGAACAAGGATCTCGGAAACGTAAACGCCATGGCGCGACTCGCGGTTACACAAAATCGCCTGAAATCTATTATTTTATTATCACTGGTGCAAAGGAGCGAGACACGTTATAGCTATTTCCGTATCTATCGCCGCACTTGCTGGAATGCTTATCGCTACGGCGTACGTGGCATTCCTGAGGGAGTCGCAGCGACCTCGTTCCCATTGTGTAAAACGAAAATGGCCTCGCCTCTCTCTCTCTCTCTCTCTCTCTCTCTCTCTCTCTCTCTCTCTCTCTCTTTCTTCCTCCCCCTCCCTGTATCCCTAGCACCCAATTTTCCAGAAATACGACGAAAATATCGTTCGTCTTCGTTCCTTATTGATCCGCCAGCAATCGTATCATTCTGACACGCGGTCGAATGATATACGAGCCCGATGAAAACGGCGCTGCTAAAAATTTTCACCGGCCAACGCGCGGCCGTCACGATCAAACGCAATCGATGAGAAAAACGCGGGAGAGTGACGTGCAAATTAGCACACAACAGAAATTTGCCATCGGCGCGACTCTGCCGATTTGTCAGGTCCACACCAAAGTTATTCAAGATTTGGTTCCGGCCTCAAAAATGCATGTGCGATCGCGGCGGCCTACAAGGCGGCCAAAGATGCATGGTTCCCAATTTCATGAATTGCGTCGCGTCCGGAGGAGCCAATCTCGTCGGTCGTCAAACGAAAGGCACGGCTATGGACCGTCAGGATTAAATGGTTCGGAGTGATTCACGGACGCCCGGGGAATCCTGCGGATACCGAGAATTGATCGGAAGCCGTTCATTAGGGCTATGAGAATAAAGGGCGGCGTCGCGCCTTGGAAATATGCGAACAACGTCACACGTCAACCTAATTGCGACGAAATTCGAACTTTCATTAATCTCTGATTTTACGCGTAGGTACGCACCGAGCATAATTTGCGTGTGAATGATTATGGACTCGCGTCCGTACATAAATTGTGCCGAACTTCCGCGGACTTCCGCGACAGCAAAGGCGATACCCGATATTTTATCGCTGACTGGTCATTCAGGCGCCTCGTAAATTTATCTACCGCCCTCCTAAACGTATGTTGTACGAATAAATACGACGCATGATAAACGCATATGCAGAGAAAGAGGGAGAGAGGAAGGGGAGTACTTTATATACTCTCGGGTAGCCTATTGAAATAAATGTGCGTCGTTTCATTTCGCCGTCTAGCTTGTAAACGAACATATTAAAAGTTGATGAAAAAAAATGGAGATGTTGAGATTCCTCGGAATAATAACTTGTTACCTTCAATTCGCCCCGCAACAGAGGAACGCTTCAATAATAACATACTACGCGAAAAGATTCATCATCTCGTGCTGCATGCGCGCGTGCTGTACGATAAAAATATATCGTTTGTGTGCTCCAATCCCAGCGGAATAATACTTAATTGGATCATGCGTCTAGTTTTTGCATGGACGGTGTATGATATCCGTCGTTTGCGCGGGATGTTTCAATTTCGTAGATCGTTAGGCGGTGGTTTTACACATACATACACACACACACACACACACGCAAGATTAATTAATCTATCGTTATCAATTTCAGCCATTCTCTTCTCCATATCCGAGAGCAGTTAGTCAATGACTTTCACGTAGATCCTTCAGTCGACCTCGACGATGATAAATAGCAGCCGGGACTTAATTAAAAATACCGTCACGCGCCGAATATCGATGATCGGATCTTCCCTCTGCCGAGGGAGACCGAGAAATGCGTGTACCACAGCCGGAGCACGCGGTAATGGTGGCCATAACGCAGAAATGACTGACGTCACCGGATGCCTTCGGATGACCTGCATTATCGATTTTATATCGCCGACATCCTCTTGGAGGTCGCGGCGGTGGCAGATTCCACTTTATCCCTTGTCGATTTTTATAATGAAACGGCACTTCGAGAAAGGAGCGCGCGCGCTCAGGCATCCCCCATGCGACCATCAATTCCCCTCTTTTCCATGAGCTCGCCAGAGGCCGAAGATTAATGTCGACTTATACAGTTTTTGCGCCCGTGAATCGAAACGATTCACGGGCTGACACACGAAGCATCGCCACACACGAGCTTCACTCCAACTCAAGTGACATCTTCCGACGTACCGAGGAGAGATCGAAGTTGAAAGTACAAGTAAATCGATCGAAGACCGCCTCGAACTTTCGACAAAGTGTGACCCCGTTTCCATCGTTGCGAGGCTAAAATTTCGACAGCGAGAGGGGGAGAGAGAGACAGAGAGAGAGAGAGAGAGAGAGAGAGAGAGAGAGAGAGAGAGAGAGAGAGAGAGAGAAGGAAAGGAAAGGAGAGACTCTGTACGCCCATACGCTCTTCGTACCCACAATGCGACGGTTACCGATGCCAATGCAATGTGGTTGCAGTACTCAACGAGGATCAATGAAATGTCGAGAGACAGAAACAGCTGCTTCCGGATATTTGACGTCGCGTTTGTGTGCGAATTTCATCAGTGCGCTTTGATCGATTCGAGTACGGTTTCAAATGAAATATTATGAGCCACGTGAAATGGCGGAAACGGACAAGTCCGTATTTTCGGCAAATGGACTAGTATGTGAGTGCTACTCGTGATTTATAAAGATCAAATGCCATTCCGCCGCTGTAGACCGGAGTCTACAACCTTTTTTACAACAGGATGCCGTGTAGGTTTTGCCGTTTCTAGAACATCCAGTGGTACACTATTGACCCACCGTTAGTCCTGCAATGATTGCCGTTGCGCTAGGCTGCGGAAGAACCGGTGTGCAGACACGGCCGGGGAGAGTGACAATCGATTTGCCTCGTTGCAAAACTATCATCCGCATTTTTTACGCGGAGCGTCATCGCTGCTGAGTGTGTGGAACGTATTTCTTCGACGCGCGATCGCTAACCGGTT